AAAGAGAGAGAATCTTTGTTCCTGAAACTTTCAGAGTCTCTTTCCACAGAGGGGACACATGTTGATGTAGAAAAGACATGAAGAAGAGGGGACACATGTTGATGTAGAAGAGACATGAAGAAGAGGGGACACATGTTGATGTAGAAGAGACATGGAGAAGAGGGGACACATGTTGATGTAGAAGAGACATGAAGAAGAGGGGACACATGTTGATGTAGAAGAGACATGAAGAAGAGGGGACACATGTTGATGTAGAAGAGACATGAAGAAGAGGGGACACATGTTGATGTAGAAGAGACATGGAGAAGAGGGGACACATGTTGATGTAGAAGAGACATGGAGAAGAGGGGACACATGTTGATGTAGAAGAGACATGAAGAAGAGGGGACACATGTTGATGTAGAAGAGACATGAAGAAGAGGGGACACATGTTGATGTAGAAGAGACATGAAGAAGAGGGGACACATGTTGATGTAGAAGAGACATGAAGAAGAGGGGACACATGTTGATGTAGAAGAGACATGAAGAAGAGGGGACACATGTTGATGTAGAAAAGACATGACGAAGAGGGGACACATGTTGATGTAGAAGAGACATGAAGAAGAGGGGACACATGTTGATGTAGAAGAGACATGAAGAAGAGGGGACACATGTTGATGTAGAAGAGACATGAAGAAGAGGGGACACATGTTGATGTAGAAGAGACATGAAGAAGAGGGGACACATGTTGATGTAGAAGAGACATGAAGAAGAGGGGACACATGTTGATGTAGAAGAGACATGGAGAAGAGGGGACACATGTTGATGTAGAAGAGACATGGAGAAGAGGGGACACATGTTGATGTAGAAGAGACATGGAGAAGAGGGGGCACATGTTGATGTAGAAGAGAAATGAAGAAGAGGGGACACATGCTGATGTAGAAGAGACATGAAGAAGAGGGGACACATGTTGATGTAGAAGAGACATGAAGAAGAGGGGACACATGTTGATGTAGAAGAGACATGAGGAAGAGGGGAGACATGTTGACGTGTCTCCACTAAAGGTCCCCCTCACCTTTGCTCCAGGCAGATCTGAGCCTTCTCCTCCCAGCGCTCTGCGATGGTGAGCAGCTCCTGCAGCTCCGCCATGGCCGTCTCCACAGAAACGCTTTGTGGCACGTTGCAGCCCGCCTCCATCAGGGTCCTCAAGGCGTCCAGCATCACCTCCTGCCTCTCCCCGCCCTCTGTGCCCAGGGTGCGCCTCACCTCCTCCAGCCACACGCCCTGCTCCTTCAGGCCCTCCAGGGACTCGCACTCGGGGACCAGGACAGGCAGCGTGGCTCCTCTCTCCAGCAGAGCCTGAAGCTCCTCTGGAGGGGAGTCCCGCCTCCAGGCGCTGGCCAGAGTCTGAGCCTGGCTCTGGAAATCCTCCACCGTCAGCAGGACGGCCTTAAAGATCAAACGGTATAAAGGTTACTTTGCTGCACTAAATAAAAGGTGAAACTTTGAACGTCATTTTTCAAACTTTCTTTTATTGACTTATAATATGATTTAAACGTACAATATAAATAAAATAAACGTGCCTTAGTGTATGTCTAAAATCTAAAAGCCGTTTTAGCTTCAAACCTCTTTTTACAGTACATTTTTTAAAGTTAAAATGGGACAAAAATACAAAGTTGTTTTAGGGATATACATTTCAAAGTTGTTTTTATTACATTCAAAGTTCTGAAGCATTACTCTTTATTTATTTATCTTAACATTGAAATCATTTTTGGTGCATTTATTTGTTATTTTATCTTAAATATTAATTTGTATTCATTTCTCTTAAGTTTGGAATTATTTCTATTTTTTTAAACCACAACAAATTGAACAAAGCTTCACTAAATAAGGGTACAACCTTTACACTTTAATATAGCACATTTTGTCAATTCAAACTAGCCGTAGGGTTGTACAGACGTTTTTTTAAATTATTATTAAAAGCGTCTGCAGCATTTTTTTTTTAATATGTCCATTAAGTGATACGCAACATGCAGTGAAAATGTTTACAAAAAATGTTTCTCTTCTCACCTGCACTCGCTCCAGCTGGCTGATCACACAGGGCAGGTTCTGCATCGTCTCTACCAACGATTGCAGCTCTGCCAACGTCATCCTGCTCTCACTGAGAAGAAGAGAGGGGGGAATGTAAGAGCATGATATTAAACAGTTGGAGTTCATGTGAAGCAGCGATCTACCGACCTGCTGCTTGAGTTACTGACGAGGAAGTCAGTGCTGGTCTCCTGGCAACGCTCGATGTCTTTAAGGACAGTGTTGAGTTTACGCAGGAGTTCGTTGTCGGGAAACTTTCTCTCTGCTGCTTCCGTCTTCAGTAACTCCAGATCGGCAATTCCTGAAATAAGTCAAATTGGTTTAACCACTTTATTTAAGAGAATACAATTCCTAACAAATGTATGAAGAAATTTACAGTTTTTTTTTTTACAAAAGCAAGTGATACAGATCAGTGTTCATTTCGTCAACGACTTTTTTACATGACAAAGACGAGACGATGACGAGCTAAAAATAGATTATTGATAATAAAAACTGTGAAGAAATATATATTTTGTTTTCGTTGATGAGACGAGACTAAGGTGTTAATGGTGGACTATCGGACATTTCAAATGCAGGGTATTTTCCCCCAAGTGTCCGTCTTGTCTGTCAAAATGCATCTTACGTTTATAACTTGCAATATCATTATTTCCGCTCTCTTCACCCCAGAAGAGCGATCTCCCTGTGTCTCTCTGTGTGCGGGGGGCGGGGCCTAACTCTCCCCCCTCTCTCTGAGTGTGGGGGGCGGGGCCTAACTCTCCCCCCTCTCTCTGTGTGCGGGGGCGGGGCCTAACTCTCCCCCTTCTCTCTGTGTGCGGGGGGCGTGGCCTAACTCTCCCCCCCCTCTCTCTGTGTGCGGGGGGCGGGGCCTAACTCTCCCCCCTCTCTCTGTGTGCGGGGCCTAACTCTCCCCCCTCTCTGTGTGCGGGGGGCGGGGCCTAACTCTCCCCCCTCTCTCTGTGTGCAGGGGGCAGGGCCTAACTCGCCCCCCTCTCTCTGAGTGGGGGGGGCGGGGCCTAACAGAAGCTGCAGCTGCATGCACACAGATTTTTTTAAGAGTAGTAGTACTGTTAAAAGACTTAACGATACCCGTCCCTAGATATTACAGAAGTAAAGTGTTAAGAGAGTGAAAGGTTGCTTTACGAATTTCAACACTTGATGCTGTCACCGTGATTCC